AGTTTACAGGGAAAAAAAAAATATTGCACCATATGACAGTCCCTAGCATTGCAAAACTTGGGTCTTACGTAAGACAGCCTTTAATGCCCTTTCAGCATACGATTATGAGAATTTCAAAATTCTTAAGGTATTGGACCTTGATTTTATGACTAAACAAATTTGGACTTTGAAGAAGTTGTTGTGGAGACCTTTCTTTTCACAGAATAGTAGCTCAATGTTTAGGTAGTACATGTACATCTACAAATCCATAGAAAAATGAAATTTACATGTACCATTCACCTTTCAGTTTTTGAAAGATCTTAAACATTTTGTTGTTAGATAAGCCATTGAATTAAAAATCAAATTTATGCAATTACAAATCAGAGGTTGAGACACCTCACAATGCCTGTGAAGAATTACCATCTTTAATCAGCCCCAGAAGTTGACCTTGCCAAGGTTTGTTTGTTAAAAATAATTAATGATCTGATGATTAATGGATAAATTTCATTTACGGTTTATTGCTGTGCTACTTCTGCATGTGTTATGCAGCTAATGCTACAACTCTTATAAACACTTGTTTTGTAATAGTATCTGAAAAATATTAGCCACACTCTTTTTACTTGACTTACAAGAATGTCTGTTTTAGGGTAAAGTTCTGAATGTGAAAGAGGTAGCAAACAGTAAATTTGCCAGTTTGTGAGATGGTGCAACTCACATCTTTTTTCTGACCACAAGACTTTCCCAACCTAGTAAAAGAAACTGAGACTCTGAGAAGTTGCTGCAAATAAATTACAGACAGCAAGAGCTGTAGGGGACTACTCATTACCCCAAATCGCTGCAGTAAGTTGTTTCCCCAGAGCACACATGTCACTGTCAGAAAATGACTGTGCTCTTGATTCTGGCCAGCTTGGATTTGAACAATTCTTTAAGAATCATCAGGCATTTAGACAACAGAGGGAAACATAAATTTTTCCCAAATTTCAGCTCTGGGTACATTCTTAACAAGTTTTTAAACTTTTGTATACAAGTATAGCTTGTTCTTAAATCTCTGGCCTTCTCAACCTCC